ACGACGGTAGGGCCGGCGGGCCGAGGTCGCGCTCAGGACAACGGAGCCCGAAGCCGCGTGACCGCGCCGGGAAAGACCGGTGGTGGAGCGGCGGGCTCGGAGGCGACTCGGGCACCGCCGGCAAAGATTCGGCTACCGAAAAGGAAGGGGGAAGAGGTAGCGGCTCGTTACGACCTTGGCGGTTACAGAATTTTGAAGAGAGTTTCGTTAGCAACGAGAGAGAGCTGTCGTTGCCGCGGAGAAAGAAATACCGTCGAAAAACATTGTTGAGCTATCGGATGACAGAATTGGGGCTACCGTTTCGCGCTTTCTGCTGTGGTGTCGGGCAAAAATTAGTGAGAAGTTGTGGCAGAGTCTCGGAGGTGGAGGACCTTTGGCGTCTACGAGCGATAGGGAGAACGAGCGGGCGAACGAGCGAGAGAGAGAGAGAGAGAGCGAGAGGATTACCGACGAGGACCAGCCGCCCGGGAGCCCGCAATTGTAAGGCCGCCTTACCGCATTCCATTATTGTTAATTTTTCGGTGATTGGGATTTTCGTGGCGTGCGAGGTCCCGGCCCCTTGGCTCGACGGCCGGTCGGTTAACGGAAGCGAAAAGCGGACGTCCCGGGTCCGCCGCGGCGTGATAACCAACGAAATTCGTATAGTATCGTTGTGACGCGACTTGCTGCAAAGAAAAGACGAGCGAAATAAACGCGAGTGCTATCGAGGACGCTGTTCTTTTTCTTTTCTGTTTTTTTATTCGTCCCTATTCCTGTGTTGGTNGACTGACACCGGCGACCATACGGCCCCCCCCGGCCTCCGACTTAAAATCACCCCGGAGCTGCCGGTCCCGATCGGGACGAACTCGGGCCGAGTGGCCGACGCGCGGACGGCGACGCCGACCGCGGGGCCCGTGGTTAGTGGGTGCGATATGCGCACCTGGCGCCCACCCGGACTCGTGGCAGTCCGGATTTAATTAGCGGCCCGAGGTTCACCCGTCGGCGTTGCACCGGCGACTCGGAGCGGCCGAGTCGCGAATAACGGTCGCAACACATGTGCACGCATATTTACAAAACGAAATTTTAGTCTGCTTTCTCCCCTCCTGACGTCGCGTGGTCTTCTTGGCGGCTCATTGTAACAACTAATCACAGCGCTCAACTAGAAAGAAACAGATAAGACACTCAGCATCCATCTCTCTATTTGCTTCTATCACTTCCACTTACAGGCTTGTTCCCTCTATTCTTATATCTCTATGAGCTCAACCGACTGGTGCCAGCCGAACCGAAAATAAGAAATGCGCATGCGCAAGACCCACGTGGGTCGAAGGCAATTGACCAGAATCAACAACGCGCGAGAACATTGGAGGAGACCGGACAAGACTGAGCGTGCACCTGCGCGAACCACTGAGGGGAGACAGCGATTGGCCGAGGCCTAGGACAAATGAGGTAGTATCACGGAAAGAGATCACGTCCAAAATCGTAGAAGAAGCAAGTGAGACTGTTCTGAGCGGACGCTGGAAGAGACAAGACGTTAAATAGAGAAGTCGGGAACCGCGTTGCGGAACGAGACGACGGGATCCCCAGGGAACCGCTGCCAAGAGACTTCGTCTGGAAGAACGGCCTGATACCAACCCGCGAGCGGAAGCCCAGGAGACGTGGGGAAACGACCGGTCGCCTTTGCGACGGTAAGTGGTTCAAAGATTCGCCACAGTTTGCCTCCGTAAACTTTCCCGTTTAGTCGAGACCCCTCGTCGGGAAATCAAGACGTCGTGCGCGTGAATTAACGCTGATCGCGACGGGAGTGTCCGGAATAGGAAAGTTCCGTCCGGAAGAAAAGGCCGTCATCGGCAGGATCAAAGGACGGCCCGACGCGCTAAGCAACACGTACTGCGTAGTTTGGTTGAGCGCGCTCGATCTTGTCGGGACTTGCCCGCGACAAGAGCCCTACGTCGCAATAAAGCGACATAGGAAAATCGCGAACGACGCCACATTGCGTCACTTTCTTTGTCGGCGTACTTGTTCGTGGAATATTTTAGTTTCGAATTTTTTTGAGGTTGTTCTAAACTATTAGATCATTTGTATATTATTCTTCCTTTACTTTATTCCATTATAGTTTAACCGCATGGTATTATACCCCTTGTATATACCAGGTGTAGAAGTCTGAAACCGGAATTTCCCTATAGATGGTGCTAGCCATCAGTTTAGGGACCGTAAGACTGCTTCTGCAGCGCCATCTTCTCCCTCTAACAGCTGATGAAGATTTTCAACACAAAACAACCCAAATTCCATACACCGGTATATTTTTCTATAACCTTAAACATGTCGAGTTTTGTGCCTACGACCTACGATTTGCGGACAGCATTGGTTTTTTGTTATCATTTGAAGAAAACTGCTGCGCATCGAATGCTTGTCGAAGCTTACGGTGAATATGCTCTTGGTAAAACATACAGTGCTTCGAGTGGTTGAAAAAATTCAAAAGTGGTGATTTTGACGTGAAAAACGAAGAGCATGAGAAATCACCGAAAAAGTTCGCAGACAACGAATTGCAAGCCTTATTGGAT